CAGAGGGAGGAGGGAGGAGGGCCCAGAAGGAGGAGGGGCGCGACAGACGCCTCAACCCAAACGCCGCCGTGTCAACCAGAGGAAGGGACGCCACAAAAAACACCCGCAAGAAGTACGGAGCTGCCCGCGCGAGCTCACTGGTTCTCCCGACTGGCCCGTTCTTCCTCCTCTTCTTAGTTTTCCTCCTCGTCCTCGATCCCCCTTCTGCCTCCGCGATCCCCTCCGCTCCGCGATTCGCTTCTCTCCTTAATTCCCGATTCTCTAAGACGGGGTTCTTGTTGCCAGACTGATGTCTCCGCCGCCCTTCCTCTCCCCTCCTCTCCCGCCTGCTCCCTCAGAGGTCACTCCTACTCAGACTTACTCACAGTCAGACTTACTCACACTCAGACGCACTCAGATTCAGAGTCACTCACACTCAGACTCACTCATACTCAAACTCGCTCGGGCTGGACTCTCACTCAGTTCCACTGATACTTAGATTCGCTCAGGCTCACTCACACACTCTGTTGAGAGCCCACGGTCACCGCCATAGAGCAAGCGTTGCATTGTGGCACCCCAAGGCGAAGCCCCCAGGGGATATGGCACTTCCCCGTTCGCGGCCATAGAGTGGGAATCTCCCAGGCGGTTTGCTTGCATTGGCCCCCCAAGCTTTTTTTTCAGTTGGCGGTGCAATGCTCACCGCGATATAGCAAGCATGTGGCACATGTGCACCCACTCCAAGGAAAAGCCTCCAGAGGGCATGGCACTTGCCTGTTCGGGGCCAGAGTGTGGGGATGCCTCAGGCGGCTTGCGTGTGCTGGCCCCTGGATCCTCTCTCCTTCAGCAAGGGCTCCCAGCTTCGCGCTTCGCGCTTCGCGCTGCGCGAAGTGCGCACAACCTCGCGCTCTCGCGCCGCCTCCCAGGGGAGAAGAGGAGGACGAGGAGGAATCGGAGCCGAACCGCGAAGCGCGAATGACTTCGCGCCCTCGAGGGCGCCCGTGCTTCAAAGGTCCAGTGCTCACCGCGACACGGAAGGCGTGGCACCTGGGCGCGGCCCGGGGGCATGCCGCCTCTGCCCGCTCGCGGCCAGAGCGCGGGCAGTGTCTCGGGCAGGTCGTCTGTTCATGCCCCCCCCCCTTGCCATGGCTCGGACGTCAATTTTCCGTGCATTTTTCGGTTTCGTGCGTGTTTTTTGTTGCTCGAAGGTCCAGGATGGTCCTCGATGGCTCCCGCCGAGAAAAAATGCACACGTCCGAGCGATGCTCCCCCCCCCTCAGACGTCTCTCCTCGAGGAGCCTCGTGCTCGCCGCGAGATGCCGAGAGCGTGCCGCGCGCACCCTCTCCACGGTGGGGCCACCAGGGGGGGGAGGGCGCGCCACGCGGGCCTGGCCGCGGCCAGAGTGGGGGGACGCCCGGAGCGGCTTGCCTTTTTTCTGGCCCGCCAGACGATTACAAGGGGGCCCAGGGACACCCCCCCACACACACACACAAGTAGACACACATCCTAGGATTCCTCATCTGTTCCTATATGTTCTAGGTGTTCGTCTCCCCCCCACTTCCCATGTGTTCCCATAGATTCTTCGGAGTCGTCGATTAAGTGTGCCTGCGTGTGTTTTTTGCACCGTGATCGTATCTGGTGTGGGCCCATGGCTCGCAGCAGCACAACAAGAGCAGCATTTGGTCACCCCAAGGAAGGAACCGCTATTGGGTACGACAATTGCCCGTTCGCTGCCAGATTGTGAGGATATCTCAAGCGGCTTACCTGTTTGGGCGCCCGACGACTTGGGAGGGGTCAATACATTCGGCGAAGTAAACGGCCTACACACTGGGGCACTATAAAAAGAGGAGCCGTCAAGGGGTTTTACACTTGCCTGTTCCCGTTGCCCCTTCGTTTTTTCCTCTTCCTCCTCCTCCTCCTCCTGCTCCTCCTTCTCCTCTTCATCATCGTCATCACCATCGTCACCGTCGTCATCATCATCTGCGGCACCATTAGCAACACCATGGCCATGACCATCACCATCACCACCACCATCACCACTGCAACCATCACCACCACCACCACTACCACCACATCATCATCACCATCATCATCATCATCACCACCACCACCACCACCACCATCATCATCATCATCAGCATCATCATCATCAGCAGCAGCATCATCATCATCATCATCATCATCACCACCACCACCACCATCATCATCATCATCATCATCAGCATCATCATCATCATCATCATCATCAGCATCATCATCAACAACAACGACACAATCAGAGAGACGACTCTGGACGCAAAGACTCTTCAGGAATTAAGTAAGCAAGCCCAGTGCAACATCCGACCCCTCAAGAAGGGGCGGGGAAAAGCCAGCAAGCAGCATGAATGTCACACGCTCACCCCTTCAAATCAGCAGTCGAGCAGACGACGACGTATCTCCAACCCCCCTTGACGAAAAAATGGGAACAGCAGACGGACGAACACTCCGAGCGAACTTGCTGAGCCATATGAGTTCCATTTCTCGAACGGCACGCCCCCGCCGCCAGGCCCCCGCGCAGAGCACCGCCCCGCGCACCGACCGATGCCGCACGCTGCGCTCCAGTGCCTGGCCATCGCTCGGGCGTCCATTCCCCGTGCTTTTTCGGTCTCGCGCGTGGCTTCTTCGCCAAATGATCAAGGATGCTCCTCGACGGTCCTCGGCGAGGGAAAAATGCACACGTCCGAGCGATGCCAAGGTGCTGCCTCGGCGCGCCCCGGCCGTCGGAGCCCCGCGCGCAGCACGGCCCCGCGCGCAGCGTGGCCCCCGGGGGGGCGTCGCGCCGCGCAAGCCGAAGGATGCAGCCCGCCCCAAGGGTACAGTCGGGGCGTTGACCTAAGGAACCCTAAATCCGCCGATCCGGCGTGTGAGTTTCAAGGAGTCTCAGCTACAGCCTCGAGGCTGAGCTTCAGCCTCTGGGGGGGTCGCCGGGGTGGCTCTGCCGGGGAAGGGGGGGTGGGGGGGGGGGGGGGGTGCGAGTTTCCGGCGAACCCCGGGGCCGCTCCGGGGGAGTGGAAGATAGGGGGGGGGGGGGCGCCATGCACCGCTTTTTCCGGCGCTTTGGAGGAGGGGGGGGGCCCAAGAGACCCCCAAGGGGTTCCAAGAGGGCCCCGAGTCGCCGAAAAATCGCTCCAAGACGCCCGAGATGGCCTCCAGACGGCCCAAGGTGTCTCCAGGACGCCCCAAGAAGCTTCCAAGAGGCCTCCCAAGAGGGCCCCAAGAGGCCAGAATCGTTGATTTTCATTGGTTTTCTCAGGGTTTTAGCGTTCTTGCCTTTTCGGGCGTCCGACGCTCGAAGACGGCCCAAGAGGCCCCCAAGTCCGTCCCAAGACGGCCCACGATGCTTCCAACACGGCCCTAGAGAGCCCCAAGACGGCCCAAGAGGGCCCCAAGACGGCCCAAGAGGGCCTCTGGACAGCCCAAGAAGGCCCCAAGAGAGCCCCAAGAGGGGCCCAAGAGGGGGACCACGAACCGAAAGAACCGAGCTTTCCGCCCCAAGAGGCCCCCAGGAGGCCCCAAGAGACCCCCAAGGGGCCCCAAGAAGCCCACAAGAGGCCCAAACGAGGTTCCAAGAGGCCCCAAAACAGCTCCCCAGAGGCCTCCAGACTGCCTCCGGCAGGCCCCCGGTTTCTTCCGCGGCACCGCCCAGGGCGCCACCGGCAGGATGTCCTCCGTCTCATCGTTTCCTTCAAGTTATCGCCTCTTCCTCATTCTCCTCCTCCTCCTCTGCGACCTCACTCCTATCCCTCAACGATCGCGTCACCGAGTGCCTCTTCTTTGAAACATCCTCGCTCTTCAAACGCACATCCATACACACATGCATACATACCTACATTTAAAAACATTTGCATACATAGAAAAACAATCTTCCAGACATACATACTTACATTCACACACATACACACATATTATCATACACACATACAAACATACATACAAACTAAAAACATACATACGCGCACAAGCATACATACATACATACGTACCTACACACAGGCACACATGATCAATGCATGCATACATGCATGCACGCGTACATACAAACACATATATCGTGAAACTCACCGCGTGCTCGAAACTTGAGAGAGACCGCGGGAAGTCGAGAGAAGCCGCGGAACGAGGCCTCTACTACTACTACCACTACTACCACAACCACTACTACTACTACTACCACTACTACTACTACTACTACTGCTACTACTACTACTACTACTACTACTAATACTACTACTAGTACTACAGGTGCGTTTCCCAACTAGTATGTGTGTGTGGGTGATGTTGTGTGCGCATGTCTGCGGCGCAGGTTAAGTGGTGTGACTGTGTGTGTGCGTTTGAGTGTGCGCCCATAATTTCTGCGTCTGGAGAATAACCCCGAGCGACCCGGATCGGCGGCACTGGCCGAAGGCCACTACAATAAGGAACGAGGCCCCTTTTTTCATGAGTTAACCTTCGATTTCCTGTCGAAAACAGAAGGAAAGCCAGAGGCAAGCTGTGAAACACTTAAGGAACGCGGAGCCCCTCCCCAACGAAGAGGGTTCCTTCTTCAGGGCCCCGACTGTACCCTGAGGGGCTGGCCAGGGAGAGCTGCCAGGGATGGACCGAAGGGGCAAGGATGCAGGGGCAGCCTGGGACAAGTGGCTCTTCCCTGCTCCGCGGGTTGACTGTAACGAGTCACGCGTTCGGCTTACGACCCGTCGCGCCCCCACCGCCAGGACCCGCACAGAGAGCACGACCCCGAACGACAGTGACGTCTACGCTGACGTTCTCCTTCGGCGCGCCCCTGCCACGGGCAGCAAGACGGGCCAGGCACGGCCCAGGGAGCCGTGCTCTCACCCACCCACATCTCTGGGGGGAGCCATCGCACCGACGAGATCTCTCGAGGGACCACGCGCCGAAGCCGAGGAGGCCCCCCGGCGGGAGAGCGAAGGCCACGGCTGACCTCGGCTGCGGCCGGCCGGGCGGCAGGCGGGGGCGGGCGGGGGGCGGCCCGCTCAGGTCCGTGGAGCTGCTGAGGTCTACAGATCGCAGGTGCACGGCCCACTGCTGCTTCTTCCACTGCGCCGCCTCGCGGGCGCGCGGGGGGGAGGAAGAGGAACGTGGTGATGCTGCTGCTGGTGATGGACGGCGAGGGCGGCGGGCTGGTGGTGATGATGACGATGATGACGGTGATGATGACGAGGCTCATGGAGGCGACGATGACCAAATTACCCTGAGACTGAAGACTGAACGACAGCCGACACCAAAGAGCTCTCCGTGACTGGTATTGTCACGGGTACCGGTTATCATGCTTTTTTTTGTTTTTGTGTGGGGGGGGGGGGGGGGGGGGGGGGGGGGGGGGGGGGGGGTCGGGTACCGGTTATCATGCGAAAAACACTCAGAAGGTGGCTGTTCTGCGCAGCTGTGTCCTTGCAGCTGAGGGAGGCTCAAAGCTGGGGATAGAGATCCCAAGTTCGGCAGCAGTCTCTGGAGCCAGATGGGGAGAACTTGGATGTCAATCCATGTCAATCAACCAGAATCTCAGCGGAAGACATGCCAACAGGAAGCTCGAATGACAACTTTCTGGTACAATCCCGTCGAACAGTCCCACAAAAGGCGCCAGCTCTTGAGCCAAGATCTTCCCTGCTCATAAAAATCTGTGACTGGAATGCTCTGGGGGGTTCGCTCGAGGCTCGAGGAAGAAGAGCGAAGAAATGCATGAGTGGAGGTGGACTCAGTTCTAACCATTTCTGGCAATGCCTTGGATGGCCCTGTTTTGCCAAATATGAAACTGTTGTGGACTTTCGTCGGCAGAGCGGGTCAGACGCAGCTTTGAACTCAAAAGTCGGAACTGGCTAAGCGATATCAACTTCTCTGTGACTTGCATCAGTGGCCAAACGATTCCCCTGGCCCTCAGAATGCCCGTCGCCATAGCGTCAAATAAGGATGCCCGCTTGGATAATAATATCCGTGTGTTGAGTATGTCAATGTCTGAAGTTCCTCCCGAAACCGCGGTGGATAGCGCCCAGGGTTGCCACGACGTGGTGGTGACAGCCTCCTGTGCAACTCAACACGGTCAAATAATGCGCACAATAGGCTTCACAACCCGAACGGTCCATAATCTATCTTGAAACGTATCTGGAGCGTGCCTGGAGGCTGCACCATTTATCATGTCCCCGATACCCTGCTTGATCTCAAGGTGATGCAAGTTAGCGAAGGCTTCGTCCAAACACTGCATGATCTGCGTGGCCTCGCCCCTGTAATCACCCAACTGAAAATTGTTTCACCCCAAGAGAAGCGTTCGAGTCTGAATCCAAAATGAGGATGCACACGGCGTGCTGGTGCTAACTGTCGCCACAGAAACAGACAACGTCCTCGACCGCCACTTGGGCCAGAGAGACAAGAGGAGGAGGAGGAGGACAAGAAGAGGAAACGAAGAGGGAATGCAGGAGTGGCGGGAGGAGGAGGAGAAGGGAAAAGAGAGGAGCGAGGAGGAAGAGCGGAGGAGGGGGGGAGAGGGGAGGGAAGAGGAACATGAGGGAGGAAGTAGGGGACGCGAGGGAAGATTGGAGGAGGAACAATAGCAGGAGAGGACGAGAGAAAGATGCGAGGGCAGAAGCGGGAGGCAAACACTTCGATCTCTTCTGGTCGGTCGTGCTCGCGGGCCGACTCATCCATCCTTCTCCTGAGAAGGCCATCTGCATCCTCGTCCTCCCACACATCTTCGTCGCCATCGTCACCATCACCACCACAAGCATAGATAGCATCGTGCGTGCTCCAAGTCGTCACCATCACCAAAACAATCGCCATTGTCAACACCACAATCGTCGTCGCCATCGTCATGACTATCACTACCCTCATCACCACCATGTGCATGTGCTTGTTGGTCCCCTCTTCCTCCTCGTGCTCCGCCTCTGCATCATGCCCCTGCTTTTCGTTCGCACCCCCTTTTGCCAATTCCGTTTCGCGCGCCAGTCCCTCGTAACGGAAGGCTGCTCTGGTTCCCAACTCCCCGAGCATGGTACACCAATCGCATGTCGGCCTCCCATAGTGCCTGTCATCTGTCATCTAAAAACAACTGGCCTTTAGAGTTCGTGTCCTGGTTGCTGGAAACGGGGCCACCACCCCACACGCCATTCATTTGCACTTGCGCCACGGTAGCATTCCAATGGCTACCGATGCGTATCCAATGGACTCCGATGGGTATTCCTGTAGCCTTTCTGCGCACTCCCGCGTCTTCGTATGGCTATCCGCGTGGATCCGGGCACTGCACGGAATTTCCCCTGGTATCCAGACGAGCAGAGCAGGGCAGAGCCGGGGAGGAGTAGAGGAGATCTGAACAACATCTAGAGGAGGAGGAGGAGGAGGAGGAGGAGGAGGAGGAGGAGGAGGAGGAGGGCAGTGGGGTGAAGGCAGAAGAGGACTGGCAGTGGCCACATCGAGCGAGCCAGCGGGCTCCGCCCAGTGTGAGAAGATACATTGAAGGGGAACTGGGACACACAAGTGCATACACACAAATAAAAACATCCCCCATACTTTCCCATGTTTTCTGGGTTTCTGTCTTCCCCCCCACTTCCCACATTTTCCCATATTCTCTGGGGATCGCCGGTTCATTGTGCCTGTGTGTTTTGTCCCCTCCTGATACATTGTGGCACAACTGGATGTTGGGACCGGAGCGCGCTCCCACCCAGCAAGCGGAATGCGCCCGCGAGCGGTCCCGCTTCCGACGGCTCGGCGAGGGGAAGGAACCATGGCAGAAGAACCAATGCTGGCACGACTGGGCATTGGAGCTGGCGCGCGGTGCCCTTCTGCCGACTCGGCGCAAGGGAGACCGATATGCACCGCGCCCAGACTGGAACGCAACCGTGGAAGGTACTCGTGGCTACGCAGCTAGAGCAACAGGGCAGCCGACCCGACCGTAGGCTCGCTGGCGACCGCACCAGCCTTCAACACGCGTGGCCGACGAACGCCAGCATGCGCCTCGACCGAGCGGGAATGCAACCTCCAAGGGAAAATTGGCCAGCGGCTTGGACGGCGTTGCGCTCAGTCGACCGCGGCGGCGTGGCCACGCGGCCGACGACTTAGCGCGGACAGAACAGACATCTTCCAAGCCAACACCGGGTGTCAGCTTGTCCAGCGCAAGAGGAGCATGGCGCCAGGGAGAGGGCAACGCTCCGCAATTTACCCATGCGGGATTTTCGCCGCGACCCAGTCGGGGCACACATTTTGCAGCGTCGAAGACAAAACAAGACAAAACGTACATGTCGAAAAAGAAAGCGTCGATCTTCACATTGTACGTGTCATGTTTTGATGGGCAGGGTGGAATGGCCCACCTAGGGGCGCAATCAGGCCGCGCGGTAGGGAGTGGAAATTTGCGCGAATCCCACCCGAACTCTGGGCTGCAGGTGGCTTACGAGTTGATTCGTTACCCTCTCTACACAATAGTTGCACCTCAGGCGGAGAGGTTTGTCTAGGTCTCCCCCCAAGCCTTCTCTCCAGGGTTCCACCTTCGCCGGATCGCTTGCACCCAGGGCCTAGTTCCTCGCCCGCGAGACCGAACAGACCGATTTGCGACATCCATCATAGAACAGACACTGTGCGCTGGACCCTTGTGGGCCTCCCGGAGGGGCCCCCAAGGACAAATTGTTTCTTCCACCACCCACCTCTTGTTCCCAGGAGGTCCCCAGGACGTCCAACGATGCCAGCAAAGGGGTCTCAAAGTCGCCCCTTAGAGGCCTCCATGGCCCCCAAGACAGCTCAAGAGGTCCCCGAGAAGCGCCCTACAGGGCCCGATCTGCCCCGCTGAATGGCCCACGGCGCCTCCGAGAGGCCCCCAGGACTGCCCCAACGGCCCTCGGGAGGCGCAGTAAGCACTTAGACGGCCGAGCGAGCAAACCAGAGGCCCCAAGGCGACCGGAACGGACCTCGAGGCACCTCTGGGCCTGGCTCACATGCCTCAGGCACACCACGAAGCATCCAAGAAACCACCGAAAAACGCCGACACCCCCTGGAAGCTTCCGAGAAGACCGTACATCCCCGAGCAAGGCCCAAGACTACAGGATATGCGCATACAGGGACGGCCGAGGGCCCCAAGAGGCTGGCGAAAGAGCATCTCAAACATCATACCACACTACGTTCGATCTGGCGTGCCTCTTTCGCTTGCTCTTCAAATCACCGCTCATCACTCCCTCGCACGTCTTTCCAAGACTCGATCGCGTCGGACAATATCACATCACACACACACACAACTGCACCATGTGATATGGTATCACCCCATACCAGGCGATACCAACATATACGACCAGGCTGGACATGATCACTCACGAACAGACGAAGCCAACACTATGAAATAAGGAAACCCAACAAACCGGAGGAGAACGAGCCACCCATGTGAGGCCCCCAAACTGCCCCTGCGAATGCGAGTAAATGCCAACGAGACTACAAAACAATCCTCCCGCAAGGCCTTCCAGAGTTCTCCATTTCGACCCACCAGCGGTGATAATGAAATGAGCCAGGGAAATGGGCGAACCGATGAACTGCGGCGGGCCCCCTGCGGGCCCTCGCCGTGTTAGCCGTCGACGCAGAATGATGAGATGGAGGTTGATTAAGGAGAGTGAGATGGCATGCGTAAATCATGATAAGAGGGGCTTCGCGGACTCCGCTGGTCGATTCTCCTGGGACACGAAGGAACACGAGAGAAACGTGTTCCGATGGCCTCAAATGGCCGTTTCGCTCGGGACATCCTCGAGAAATCGGCTTCGGAGAGGACTCTGAATCTCAAACACGGCCGGTTCGCTCGGGACAGCCTCTACAACTCTGCTTCAGAGGGGACCCTGGATTTCAAACATGGCAGTTTCGCCAGGGACATCCTCGACAAGTAAGCCTAGTAGGGGGCTCCGAGTCTCAATAGTGGCCAGTTCTCTCGAGGCGGCCTCGCTTTGGAGCATCAAGTCGGCATTCCCCTCGCGCGCGTCATGCCCCGTGGACCCCAAAAGGCCCACTGCTGGCCCCCAAGCCCGCCTAGATCCCCCAAGGGGCACAAATGCTCCCCCAAGAAACATTGCAACCATTGGCACCGATCTCCGTCGAGGCAATATCTCTCAGACCCAAGCAAGCTCCCCTCAGGGGCCAGCCGTGACTGCCGCCCTGCGGGCTCCATTCCGCGGCTCCCCTGCGGGCCCTGGCCGTGTGAGCCTTCGAGGGAAGATGCCGAGATGGAGGATGCTTGAGGAGAGCGAGAAGCATGCAGGAAGGCATGCTAAGAACGGCCTCGCGCATTCCGCCTCCCCTGGGACGCGTAGACATACGAGTGAAGCGTGCTCCGATGGCCTCAAGTGGCCGTTTCGCTCGAGACATCATCGGCTTCGGAAGGGACTCCGAATCTTAAAACTGCCGTTTCGCTTGGGACATCCTCGACAACACGGCGTCGGAGGGAACGCTGAATTTCAAACATGACAGTTTCGCTGGGGACGTCCTCGACAAAGCCCCCGAGAGGACTCCTTGGAGCCTCAATTCGGCACACCCCTCACGCACGTCGTGCCCCATGGACCCCATCAGGCTCTTGACTGGCCTCCAAAACCGCTTAATCCCCTGAAGGGCGCGAAACATCTGCGTGCAAGCTTCCCCCCTGAGGGGCCGCCGTGACGCCCGCTCTGCGGGCTCGATGGGCAAACATGACAGACCAGAGGAGAGCGAGCCACCCATGTGTCTGCAAGGCTGTCCCCCGCGGACTGCGGACACACCGAGCTCACATTTTGACAAAGACGCGCGGGAACGGGAGACGTGTAGAACCAGAAAACAAGGCAGACGCTCAAGACGAGGATGAAGCCTTTCGATGGCGGAGGAGCAGCGGCCGATGAGAAGAGTACGACAGCGAACAAAGGGGTGAGGAGACGGCGGAGAAGCAGCCACCTCAACAGTCTCAACTGTGGATTACCAACTTTGCGCGCCCAGACGTCCGTAGTCATATGACACCAAACCGAGCACCAAACAGGACTACTACTACCAAATCGGAGCATGTGCCCGGCCGTATCGGATTAGACCTAACGCGCCCAGACGACACCATGAGACACCGGCTGGGGAGATCGAGCTTGAGACCACGGAGAACATGAGCGAGACACTGGACGAGAAACAAACTGGCGCGGACACGCGAAACGTTAATCCGACATCGTGCCGCGAGGCAGTGAATGGAGCGTCCGAAGGTCCGTGCGCGTTCTCTGCGTTGATTGTATAAAGCGGTACGCAAGGGCCCCAAGCCCCTGAAGAACTCTGGGGCGCCCCAAAGGGCCCTCCCGAAGAGAAGCTCAAAGTGGCTGCGTGGCCCCACACCCATAATGGCTCCCACAACCACCTGTAAGGCCCCACGAGAGCACCCAGGGGCCCCCCCAGGATGCTCCCGTGAGGCCTCCGAAAGGCCCCCTAAGAGGCATCCAAGATGCCTTCCAAAATACCCTAAGAGGCCTCAAGTAAACTTCTGCCCACGACCCAGGCACGGTAACAGGATGGGCCGAAGGCATACAAATAGCAGAACTCTGCACACAAAAACAACACCATGATTTACACCGCCTGCCCCGCATAACCGCAAGCCGTACGCCTGCGAGGTGAAGGTGAGCGAAAATGTAGATGAGGACGACGCGTAGCCTTCACCGTGCTCGAGTCCACTAACAGCTAAATCACTGAGCGGCAGCCGCACAGGAATGGAGATTATTCAGACCATCGGCTGGGACGATAATTGGCAGATCGTTCTGCAACAACTCGCTGCTCACACCATTCGATATCGCTGCTCAATTGGGGATCCGTATGATCGATATTCGGGGGGTCCGAGAACCCTGCCAAAGGAGTGATGACCCTCTCATCCGTTGCTCTCAGGTGGGAAGGAGGAAGGAAGAGGGACGAGGAAGGAGCGAACGGAAGAGAAATGAGGAGGAAGGAGCAGGGAGGCTGGGGTGGAGGAGGAAGGGGAGGGGGGAGAGGTGGAAGGACTGGCTAGGTGCTCTCGCGTCATAGCTGACGTCCTACCCCCGCCTCCTCTCCCTCGCCACTGGGATCGCGGTCATTAGTGGTGTGCGAGCTAGTAAACCGAGTCTGCGAGGGATGTGAGCTCGGCCAGTCTGCGCAACTCATGAGAGGCCTCTTAGATGGGCTCCGAGTAGATGGGGTCGGAGGGTCGCGCCGCATCGCCGTTTCATCGGCGATGCATCGGCGACGTCGGCGATACATCGGCGCCACCGGCGTGGAGAAAGTCAGGCTCCACACCCAGCCGCACTGCCGACGCGTCGGCGATGCGGCGCGACCCCCTCCGACCCCGATCTGCTGCCCCGACCCCACCCGGGAGGCCTGGGGCCTATTGGGCCTCACCCGCCGTGCCGAGCCGAGCCTCCCGGCAGCTGCCCAACGAGAGCTCGCCGGCCAGGAGCGCACCGTGGCCGCAGCGCTCCGCGGCCACGCCCACGAGCAGGGTTGGGCGGCGCGCACACAGGGGGTGGGGGGAGGGGGGGGAGGGCTTCTCGGAAGCAGGCTGCTTCTTCGCAGGCGCCGGCCCTGCATCTATAGACAGGGCCCGCGCCCTCCAAGAAGCAGGGGTGCTTCCAAGAAGCCCTCCCCCCTCGCCCTGCCCGGCCCCCCCTCTGCGCGTGGCCGAAGTGCACCGCGGCCGCAGCGCTCCGCGGCCACGCCCACGAGCCGCGTGCTCCCCCGGCGGCCTGCGCTCTCGGCCGAAGCGGCTCGCCCGCGGCCCCTTCGGCCCCATGGGGGAGCGGCCGCGGGCGGCAGCCAAGGTGCCCTGCCACCCGGGCGCGGCCCGGGCGGGGCCACCTCGCGAGCTGGGGAGGGCGAGCAGGGATCAAAAAAGGCGGAGTCTTTTTTACCTTTTTTTTCTCTCTCTCCAGGAAGGACGCGATGGAGCAAGGGAGGAGATCAGGCCGCAGCCAGTGGGGAGAGACTGAACGGGCCAGACGGAATAGGTCCACACGGAGACCGACCACTCCACGTGGGCTCACTCCTTGTGGACTCGGCCTCCTCTCGGGAGAGGCTATACTTAGTAAGTCCAGACGGGGTGAGCCCAGATGGAGACCGAGAAAAAAAAAATAAAACTAAAAAAAAAAAAAAAAAAAAGAAAAAAAAAAAAAAAAAATAAAAAAAAAAAAAAAAAAAAAAAAAAAAAAAGAAAATAAAAAAAAAAAGAAATAAAAAACAAAAAAAAAAAAAAAATATAAAAGAACAAAAAAAAAAAAAAGAAAAAAAAAAAAAAAAAAAAAAAAAAAAAAAAAAGAAAAAAAAAAAAAATAAAAAAAGAAAACAAAAAAAAAAAAAAAAGAGACCGAGAGCACTCGGTACGGGCTTACTCCGTGTGGGCTCGGCCCCGCCGAAGGGAGGACGGGGGAGAAGCAGGGGCCGGGTGATCGCCATGCCCTGGGGCAGCCCGAGCCGAGGGATGGCTGATGACGGGTGGATCGGGCCAGGAGGGAGCTAGCAAATCAGGACGTCTGGGAGGCACTTTCAGGAGGAAGGGTAGGACGAGGACAAACAGGCGCAGCAGGAGCTGGAGTGGAAGGAGCTGAAGGACCAGGGGAAGGCAAAGGCACACGAGGCGAAAGGAGGGGGGGGCGACGACGAAGAAGAAGGACTCGGATCCAGAAAAGCGGCCCGCGCTGGAGCGAGAGCGCAATTCTGAACGACGGGAGCAAAGCGCCGAGCTGAAAACATCCGAAGATGAGGTCCACGCTGCAGCGGGGACACCATTTTGAACAACCGAGCACAATCGGATTGCCAAAAACGTAAAGAGAAACAACTGTTGAACTCCTGTATAAAAGAGAATGCGCGGAGAGGGCCAGACATCTTCCGAACAACACAGGGGGGAGAGGAGAGCAACATGCATTATGTGTAAGTGTGAAGAAGGGGAGCGAGGAAAGAGCGAGGGAGCGGAGGAGAGAGAGAAGTAAGGATAGCACCACCATCCCCGCCGCCTCCCGCCTTCCTCCTGAACCGCATTCCTGCCTGCCTGGCCCCCCTCCCTGGAAAAGGCAGAGAGGGGTGACGCCACACCAGGAGGCAGGAGGGGGGGGGGCACCATTGCAGGGGAACTGGGACACACAAACAAATACACACAAACAAAAAGATTCCCCACATTTTCCCATAGTTTCTGGGGTCTTTGTCTTCCCCCCCACTTCCCATATTTTCCTATCTTTTCTGGGAACCGCCGATGAATTGTGTCTGTGTGTTTTTCCCCCTCCTGAACCATGATCGGGGGGACGTAAGACCTGGGTACAGGGGACTCGGAAATCCCCGACGAGGTCGTCAAACAAATGACGAGGCCGAGCCTGCATTTTGACGAGGCCTCCCGCTGCAGACATCCCACGAAACTCCTACTCGTCAAAATCCGAATCGCGGTCGTCAAGAAACGATGGCGAACCCGAGTCCTGGCAAACCCGGGTCTTACGCTCCCCCGACGTGAAGGACATGGTGCCCCGAGAAGGAGGGCCCGCACCCTGGGGCCTCCTCCCAAGACCAACCTCACCCCCCGGGCTGCGCCTCCGCGGCCCCGGGGCCCCGTGGAGAGCACCGAGGGCCCGAGGACGGCGGAGCAGAAACAGGACCCCCCGGGGACCCCCCTGGGGCCTCCTCCCAAGACCAACCTCACCCCATGGGCTGCTCCTCCGCGGCCCCGGGGCCCCGTGGAGAGCACCGAGGGCCCGAGGACGGCGGAGCAAGAAACAGGACCCCACTCCCAGACCCCCTCGAGTTATGAAAAAATCACGACGGGAGGTTTTTCGCTATTTCTGGCCTTTGGGGGCCCTCACCGGCCCTCGGGACCGTCAAAAAACGACTCGGGACGAGAAACCGGTCCCGGGGAAGGGGTCGAGACCTCGGGGGGTCGACGTCATGAAAAAATCATGACGTCGGGGGTCAGGGAACAGGACCCCCCGGGGACCTGCTCTGCTTCCTGCCGAGCCCGTCGGCTTCCTGGCGACGGGGGGGGCCCGCGGCCTGGGGAGAGGAGCGGGGAGCAAAAACAGGACCCCCTCCCTCCCGGGGACCCGTTCTGCTTCCCCCGTCGGCTTCCTGGCGAGGGGGGGGGGGGCCAGCGGGCCGGGGAGAGGCGCGGGGGAACCGCCCCGTGCGGGCGGCGCCAGGCCCCCCTGCGCCGCGCAGCCGGGCGGAGGCGCCGTACTTCAGAAGCGCCGGCCCCACGGCCGGGTGAAACTCGTCCACCTCGCCGCAGGCAGCGGGCGGCGCTGGGCGTCGGCGTCGTCGGCAACGTAGTCGGCGGCGGCGGCGTCGTGGGCGTCGTCGGCGAGGTAGTCGTCGACGTCGTCGTCGTAGGCGTCGTCGTCGTCGGCATCGGCGTCGTCGTCGTCGTCGTCGTCGTCGTCGTCGTCGTCGGCGGCGGCGGCGGCGGCGGCGGCGGCGGCGGCACGCCGCGGTCGTGGGGCGTGCTGCCCGGGCCCGCCTCCCTCGCGCGGTGGCCACCGGCGCTTCGCGCGCCAGCCTGGGGGAGTTGCGGTCCTTCAGCCCCCCGGGGGGAGCCCATCGTACTCTCATCATGTGCTCGAGCGCGTTCCACGACTCGCAAAAGTAACTACTCGCACATGGCCTGGATCCGCCGCGGGGAATATACGATAAGTTACGTCGAAGCACGCGTATGTTCATCGGAGGCTTGCGAGTAGGCACTTTGCGAGTAAAGAACGCGCTCGGTGATCACGGGGGGTCACGGGACAGCAGCTCTCCCAGGATGTGGTCGGTCTGCGGCGTGCGCCGCGGGTGTCGCGGAAGGGAAGCACGGCGAGCATTTCCCGGGAATCTGGGGAGGAGGAGGACGACGACGACCACGAAGAAAGAGGACAAGGAGGAGGGGGAGGGAACGGAAGGAGGGCTGCAGCGATCTACAAAACGGCACGGCCCCCAAGCGTTTACAGGGCTGCCCCCCTTGGGGCCATGGATTCAAGAGGGACGCCTCCGCCTCTGCCCCTCGTCTGGCTCCTCCTCCTCCTCCTCCTCCTCCTCTTCCTCCCCCTCCTGCAGCTCCTCCTGCTCCTCCTCCTTTTACCTTGTTTGATTATCGTTCTCCTCCTCCTCTTCCTTCCTTCTCCTCCTCCTCCTCCTCCTCCTCCTCCTCATCATCATCATCATCATCATCATCATCATCGTCATCATCACCATCACCATCACCATCACCATCACCATCACCATCACCATCACCATCACCATCATCATCATCATCATCATCATCATCATCATCATCACCATCATCATCATCGCCAGCATCAGCATCAGCAGCATCATCATCATCATCATCATCGTCGTCATCATCATCAGCATCATACTCGTCATCATCTTCATCATCATCACCATCATCAGCATCATCATCGTCGTCATCATGCTCATCATCAATCACTGTCATCATCCTCAGCATCCTCAGCATCAGCATCATCACCATCATCATCATCATCATCATCATCATCATCATCATCATCATCGTAATCGTCGTCATCATCGTCATCATTAGCAACAACATCATCATCACCACCATCACCACCCCCATCATCATCATCATCATCATCATCATCATCATCATCATCAAAATCATCAGTATCATCATCAACATCACCATCAACATCGCCATCACCATCACCATCACGTTCATCACCACCACCATCATCAGCAGCATCAGCATCAGCATCACATCACCATCATCGTCATCGTCATCGTCATCATCATCATCATCACCTTCACCTTCACTGCTATTATCATCATCAGCATCATCATCATCACCATCATCATCATCATTATCAGCAGCAGCAGCACCATCACCATCGTCATCGTCATCATCGACATTGTCATCGTCATCTTCTCCATCATCATCATCGTCAGCATCTTCATCACCATCATCAGCATCATCATCATCACCATCAGCATCGCCATCATCATCATCATCATTATTATTATTATCATCAGCATCATCATCATCATCATCATCATCATCGTCGTCGTCGTCGTCGTCGTCGTCAACATCATCACAATGGTCATGAGCTCACTCCTACAACACCGTACCTTCTTGCACATACACCTTTTTCTCATCCTGTTCCTCGTGCACGAGCTCCTGCTTGTCCTGTTGCTGCTGCTGCTTTTCCTCATTTTCCCTTTCCCCCCTCTCACCCAGCTCACAAGCGTTGGAGTGCTGAAGTGCTTGAAGAGCTAATAACTAAATGACGTTGTTCTGCCGTAGTGCGAGATTATGTCGCCAAGAGCTTGGCCTCGGGTGTCCTCAGCAAAATCGATATACGCGTATGACTGTCGTGTCCCCGGCAAGGCCGCTGGAACTTCTGGATCCAGCACAGTTGCTGGTTTGTTTCATGCCAGCTTGATGGGTTTCTCTCAAAGCTGGAAGTCGCCATGTAGATGCGAGCGCCGCTGGCGTATCTGATCTAATCCCTGGCCCCCAGGAGACGACACTGTTTCGACTCATCCATCGGACTGGGCGAAAAGGGGGGGATAGCAAAGGGGGGGTTTGAGAATCAGCTGACGTAGCTGATTTCCCCGGCGCCTCCCGGCGCTGGAGGCGGCTAATGTATCGAAGAATGGGCCCCTCGGTGGGGCCGAAACCAGCTGCACGCAGCAGATTTCGTAGCCCCCCCTCTCCCTATCCCCCCCTTTCCTTCGGCCCGATAGTCCCTGAGCCCCCAGGAGACGGCACTGTCTCGGCTCGCCCAAGTGCTCCGTTCCGAGCGCGCCACGGCCCACGCCCTCGAAGCCTCTGCGCCTGCGGGCCAGAGCGCCCCCACAGCCAGGTCCAGCGCGGGGCGGCAGGAGCGGCCAGCAGCGCATCGATATGAATGGGGCCCAGGGACACACAGATAAACACACACACAAATAACAGGATCCCTCATAGTCTCTCATGTTTTCTGGGTTTTCGTCTTCCCCCCCGCTTCCCATATTTTCTTATTTTTCGGGGGAATCGACGATGAATTGTGTCTGTGTGTTTTTTCCCCTCCTGACGATAAATTATACCCGATCGGCACAAGCACCGAATCGGGCCGCAAGTGCACGGGGTTAGAACCGAACCGCGTCGGCCGCGCCAAGATGCACAGCAGCGCACTGCGGTGCGCACAGGCGCTACGTCCGCTGTTCGTGGATACTCGCAGGATCCCCGACGATGCGCCTGTTGATCCCTGCCAGATCCTTGCTTACGTGCTGGTCCCAGCTGCCTTGATCGATTCCCAGACGCCAGTATCTTCGCATCGCAGCGTCAGTAGCAGCGTCGTCGCAGCATCAGTAGCGACAGCAAAGTCCGCAGCACTGCTTTCAGAGCAACGATCGTAGCTGAGGCGGCCTGGGCACGAATGCGTGATGTTATGTACCGGCGAGCCCACCCACACACACACGCACACACACACACACACACACCCAGCCACACAGCGCCACTGTGGGGCTTCGGCGAAAAAAACACCTCGATCTAACCAGGGCGCCCGGCCCCCCCAGCTGCCCGACGAAGCTCGGCAGCGACTCGGGCCCCATGCCCCCGCGTGGGGCTGCAGCCGTTGTGCTACCACGAAGAAAATGAAGGGGCCCCAGGGCACACAAATAAATACACACCAATAAACAACAGGATCCCCCAAATATTTTCCCACATCTTCTGGCTTCTCGTCTTCCCCCCCCACACATCCCATAGTTTCCCATACCTTCCTGGGGAATCGACGATTCACTGTGTCTGTGTGTGTTTTTCCCTCCTGAGAACATCGTTCGGGCGAAAGGGGGGAAGCAAAGGGGGGGTTGAGAATCAGCTCACGTAGCTGATTTTCCCGGCGCCTCCCGGCGCCGGAGGCGGCTATGTATCGAGGAATGGGCCCCTCGGTGAGGCCGAAACCAGCTGCATGCAGCAAATTTCGTAACCCCCCCTTTCCCAATCCCCCCCTTTCGCCCGGCCCGAGAACAGCGCCACGCGAGCAGGGAGCGAAGGACCCCCCCCGCCTGGCCACGGCGAGGCCGCGGCCGCGCGCAGGCGCTCCCCGACCTCGAGGGCCCGAGGAGCGGCCCGAGGCCAGAGAGAGCCCCTCCTCCAGAAGAGAGCGCGCTCCGCTGCTCGCAGAGCGACTGCAGTGCAGTTTTTAATACATAGGATTGTTTAAAGTAGCACAGGAAGTTTCTTAAATGCTTTTAAACATTACAGGCTTATCTAGGACTTTAAAACATAATATAGTAATTTAGGTTTTTTTTATACATACTCGCATATTATGTTTAAAAATATGGGATTTTAATACATGGTTAATGCATTAATGAATTTATGTATGAACTCATCGTTGTTTTAAATACTAAATCCCTGCATTTTGTATGCATGATCCGCACGCGGAGCATGTGATAAAACCGGCGCTGTACTCGCAAATGGCCTGGATCCGCCGCGGGGGATCTGCGATAAACTGCATCAGAGCAGGCAGGCGTTCTTCGGACGTGTGCGAGTGGGCACTCTGCGAGCAGTGGAACGCGCTCGGCGACTCCTGCACCCAGCGTGGCCCTGAGCGCCCTCTGACCGTGTCTGGGCACCCGCCCCGGCCTGTGCAAGGGGCCCTGGGGCACGCAAATCCACACACACACAAACGAAATGAGTCCCCATACTTTCCCTTAGGTTCTGGGGTTTTGCCTTCCCCCCCCCCACCTCCCATACTCTCCCCTATTCTCCTGGCAGTCGACGATTCGTTGTGTCTGTGTGCTTTTTTCCCCTCCCGATCGCCTGGGCCTCCGAGGGGCCGCCAGGGCGCCCGCCGCCCCACCCGCCGCCCGGCCCGCCCCCGCGGGCGGCCTTCTCCAGCCGGCAGGGCGCGCAGACGTAGTCGTCCGGCGCCGGCCTGCCCGCGGGCGGGCCCGAGCACGCGCGCCGCGCGGCGGCCCAGCGGGGCGCTCGCGAGGGCGCGGCGGAGGCGGGGGCGGAGGGGGAGGCGGAGGAGGAGGCGGAGGAGGCGGAGGAGGAGGCGGAGGAGGAGGAGGAGGAGGAGGCGGAGGGGGAGGGGGAGGAGGACAAGCTAGGTGCGCTCGCGTCATATCTGACGTCCTACCCCTCCCTCCCATCCCTTACCATGGCGCTGATTTTCTCTATCCGCGGACGCGTGTCGTAGCGGACCTGTGGCTCCGCGCGCGCGTGCGTAGTGGGTGGTGGTGCGCGTGCGTGCGTGCGTGCGTGTGTGCGTGTGTGCGTGGTTGTGGTTGTGGTTGTGGTTGTGATTGTGGTTGTGGTTGTGGTTGTGGTTGTGGTTGTGGTTGTGGTTGTGGCTGTGGGTGGTGGTTGGGGTGGTGGGTGGTGGTGGTGGTGGTGGGGTGGTGGTGGTGGTGGTGGTGGGTGGGTGCTGTGGGTGGTGGGTGGTGGGTGGTGGTGGGTGGTGGGTGGTGGGTGGATGGTGGTGGGTGGTGGGGTGGGTGGGTGTGTGAGTTGTGTGGGTGTGTGGGGTGTGTGGGTGTGATGGTGTGTGGGCTGTGTGGGTGTGTGGGTTGTGTGGGTGTTGTGGGTGTGTGGGTGTTGAGGGTGTGTGGTGTCGTGGGTGTGGGGTGTTGTGGGTGTGTGGTGTGTGGGTGTTGTGGGTGTGTGGGGTGTGGGGGTGTGGGGGTGTGGGGGTGTGGGGGTAGTGGGTGGCGTGGGTGGGTGGGTGGGTGGGTGGGGTGGGTCTGGGTTGTGGGTGTGTGGGGAGTGTTGTGTGGGTGTGTGGTGTTGTTTGGGGTGTGTGGGTGGGGTTGTGGGTCTGTTTGTGGTGTGTGTGGGTGTTGTGGTGTGTGGGGTGTGGGTGTGTGGGGGTTTTGGGGTGTGAGGGTGTGTGGGTGTGTGGGTGGGTGGGTGTGTGGGTGTGTGGTGTTTGTGGGCGTGTGGGTGTGTGTGTGTTGTGGTGTGGGGTGTTGTGGGTGTGTGGGTGAGTGGGAGTGTGGGTGTGATGTTGTGTGGGTGTGTGGGTTGTGTGGTGTGTGTGGGTTTGGTGGTGTGTGGGGTGGTGGGTAGTGTGGGTTTGTGTGGCGTGTCGTGGGGTTGGGGTGTGTGGGTGTGTGGGTGTTGTGGGTGTGTGGGTAATTAGTGTGGGTTGTGTGGGTGTGTGGTGTTGTGGTGTGCAGGTTGTGTGGGTGTGTGGGTGTGTGGGTGTGTGGGTGTGTGGGTGTGTGTGGGTGTGTGTGGGTGTGTGTGGGTGTGTGTGGGTGTGTGTGGGTGTGTGTGGTGTGTGTGTGTGGTGTGTGTGTGTGGTGTGTGTGTGTGGTGTGTGTGTGTGGTGTGTGTGTGTGTGTGTGTGTGTGTGTCTGTGTCTGTGTCTGTGTCTGTGTCTGTGTCTGTGTCTGTGTCTGTGTCTGTGTGCTGCAGCGGGAGCACGAGTCGAAACGAGCGGAAGCGCGGAAATGAGGCCAACGCTGCAGCGGGAGCACGATTCGGAACGAGCGGAAGCACGGAAATGAGGCCAGCGCTGCAGCGGGAGCACGATTCGGAACGAGCGGAAGCACGATGAGGCCAGCGCTGCAGCGGGAGCACGATTCGGAACGAGCGGGGCCCGAAAATGAGGCGGGGCGGCCGCCTCAGCGAGAGCAGCATTTTGAAAACAAATGCAGGCGAAAACCCAACTCCCGGGAATCCTGTGTGTAAAAAAGCAAGACGCGGGGGGGGGGCGAACACTCCCAGCACGTCATCAGGGGAAGAGGGAGAGTAGTATTCATAGTGAGTAATTGTGGAGGGGGAGGGGGAGGGGGCATCTCGGGAGCCTCTGGGGGCACTCTTGGGGCCTCCTGGCCTCTGGGGGGGCCTCCTTGGGCCTCCTGGGGGCTCTTGGGGGGCTTCTCGGGGGCCTCTTTGGGCCGTCTCGGGGCACTCCTGGCCCGTCCGACGCCGTCGGAAGCCGTCTTGGGGGGCCCTCCTGGGGCGGCGGGCAGCCGCCCTGCCCTGTCGGGCCGGCCGGGGCCCGGCCGGGGCAGCGGCCAAGGAGAAGGGTGGGCCGCGGCCGCCCGGTGGCTGGCTGGCCGTGCAGCGCCGCGGCCGCCCACACCGCGGGCGGCCGCGGCCTCGGGCAACTCGGGCAGAGGCCGCTGCAGCCCGAGAGCGGAGGGGGGGGCGCATGGGGGGGCGGCGCGGGCGGGAGGTCCTGCGTTTGCTCGGTGTGTCCGTGGCTTCGGGTGGAGAGCCCGGCGGAGCCTCGTCTGGAAGTCGCTCTTGTTGAAGGGCCTCGAGGCGGCCCAAGAGCGCCGAGGGCTCCCGAGGGGAGCCCCAAGAAGACCCCTGCATCGCTTGGCCCAAGAGGGCTCGAGATCCTTCCCAAGGGCCCTCCAAACAGCCCAGGAAGCAGTCGAGACAGCCCTCGACGGGGTCTCTGAATGAACGTCGTCTTGAAATCGCTCGAAAGGAATTGTATATCCGCCACCGTGCTGCTAGGCACTCCATGAAATGTCCTGAGGCCCACTCGAGTTTCCCGTGTTGAATACTGCAATGACTTGGTCAGAAACCCCGACCCCCAACAGCCAGGGATCATGGGGCGTCCCTAACTTTTGGGGCCTGGCGCAAGACTGTTGGCGTGTTCCGCGTGAGATGCCCGAGGCCAAACACACTTGAAAAGTAAGGTGTTTTACAATGTTTTCGGCACTGGGGGGGAACCCGAATTGGCCCCACGAGCCCTCTTGTACTAAGATGGCCCCCGGCACCGCCAAGAGGCCACTCGAGGCGCCCAAGAGGCCCCTAGATGCCTCCAAGAGACCACTCAAAGGCCCGCCCCTGGAGTCGGGCACATCCGTCGACCAAAGGTGGTGAACCCCTTGTGGGGCTCAAAACCAACAAACACTGAAGGATGTTCAATGATTTTGCCTTCTGGGGCATCTTGAGGGTCGAAAGAGGAGCCCTGAGGCTCTCAAATGGCTCCAAGATGACCCAATATGGCCTGCAAGACGGCCCTCAAGACGGCCCAAAAGGGTTCCAAGAGGACTCCCAGGAGAGCTTCGAGAGGCAAACAACATGGATGTTTCCCATGTTCTGGTGCTGAATTTCGCGTTCTGGCCCTCTCTGGCTTCCGACACCCCAAGACGGCTCGAAATACCTCCAAGATGACCCCACTACGGCCCAAAAAGCCCCCAAGAGGGACGCAGGAATGCCGAAGTGGGCTCCAAGGAGGCCCAAAAGACCCTCAAGACATCCCCCACGACGGCCCAAGAGACCACCAAGACGGCCCTTGAGGGCCCCAAGAAAGCCCCAGGATGGCCCAGAGAGGCCCCCAAGACGGCCTCCGAAGACGCCAGATGGCCAAACAGCGCTCGTAAACGACCCGCGACGCCCCCAAGAGGCCCCCAACTAGCGCCCAGCAAGCCCCAGCATGCCCCCGGAGGCCCCCCGAAGACCTCCAAAATGCTCCCGGGAGACCCCGAGCGCACATACACGCTCTACACACTCCGCACGCGCACCCCGCGAAGCGAGAGGAACCTAAAAAAAACCACCGCCCCCGCAACTGCGGATAAGAGTGAGGGGGGCCAGGGGCGGGCGGGTCGTGGGCACTCTGCGAGGCTCGGAGGAAAATTATCCCGGCAAAGCAACCTAACAGCCATGTGTAGGAGCATATCTGGAAGCATTCCCCTTAAGATTCGGATGAGAATCCAGTTGTAGAATTCTGCTGTTCTCGCAGTCGTAGTCGCATTCGCGATGACAGTCGCAGTGGCAACGGCAGTCGCAGTCACAGCCTCAGCCTCAGCCTGCCTCAGCCTCAGCCTCCGCCTGCCTCAGCCTCAGCCTGCCTCAGCCTCAGCCTCAGCCTGCTTCAGCCTCAGCATCAGTCTGCCTTCGGCCTCGGCCTCAGCCTCAGCCTGCCTCAGCCTCAGCCTGCATCAGCCTCAGCCTCAGCCTCAGCCTGCCTCAGCATCAGCCTGCCTCAGCCTCAGCCTCAGCCTGCCTCTGCCTCAGCCTCAGCCTGCTTCAGCCTCAGCCTCAGTCTGCCGTCGGCCTCGGCCTCAGCCTCAGCCTGCCTCAGCCTCAGCCTGCATCAGCCTCAGCCTCAGCACGAAGCGACCCAGCTAGAAGGACAAAGCGCTGAATGTACACCGATGTGTTCGACGACTGCGTATGTAATGATGTGACGATATACAGACTGAGCCCTTCGTGAATGTCTACATGTTTTTCTGACGCCTACAAACGGCGCTGACGTGTGTGAGAAAATTGTCCGCGCAGCAAAAGCCGGCGAAGCGTGCGGGAGCTCGCATGCTGAGACAGACTACGTCTGCAGACCGCCAGCTGCAAAAGGTTGCGAGCGGCTCTTGGAAGATGTTTACGGAACGGAGCTACGGTGTCTGAAAACATTGGCATCGAAGCGAAGAGCCTCGGAGCCCTGCAACCTGAGAAACACCGCAGGAACTCGCATACTGAAAAGGAATGCATTGCAAACCGCACGCTGCGAACCCTGCAGGCTGAGAAGCACCGCAGGATGTCGCATGCTGAAAAGCACTTGTACTGCAGAGCGCTAGCACTCCATCTCGGGCTCGGACCCCCCCGTCCTGATCCAGAACGTGTCCGGCCACGGCCTGAAAATGCCGTTCCAACTCCCGAGGATCAGCTGGCACTCCGGCTCTGGGACACTCCAGTACGTCTTGAGCACCTTGAGCCAGGCCCCATCTCGGGATCCCCACAGCACGCTGTACTTGACCGAGACCGTGCCGAACTCATAACAATTGACCTCCGAAGGACCTGCGATGCGGTGGTTCTGAGCCAGGACGAGGTCCGCATGGTCGAGCGTCGGCACCGTACGCCCATGCCCAGACGGACCATCCACGGCGAGCCACATCATCTGAGACAGCGTCTGGAGGGCGGTCGACAGGCGACTGGCGACTGGCGACGACGAGCTGGTCTTGGACTGTCAGGAACGCTACACGACCAAAAGAAAACGAAGCACGACCGAGGAAACACCAGA